CTCGAAATGAAGCCGCAAAGAGCGAATCGACGATGCGTGCAAATCTCCTCCAAGTCACGCTTCGGTCGGGCACAATTGCTGCAAACAGTTTGGCCGGTGCATGTGAATCCTTTCGATCGAATCACAATTTACGGCCGATTGGCTCCTCCACAATTCCGGCATATTTCAGCGCTGTTGAGGGAGCAAAGTTCATGCCTTCACATGTTTGCGCGGAACAAAAATGTTTCACTTTGGCTCTTGAGTGGCTCAACTAGAAAATGGAGTGATGCATGAAAAGCGAGATTGGATTGTTATCAGCCTCAGCGTATGACGCCTCTCGAAAGTCAGGCTTCAAAATGACATTTCTAATTCGGAGCTCTACCTGACGCGAATGAGAGAGCATTCGACAAATAATCTTCCTGTCGTCAAGTTAGTTGGTCTGACTGATGCATGGGCTGGAGGCCTCAGCTCGTCTGAGGAGAGCGAGAAAGGAATTCTTCGTGAATTCCGGCCAGTCAACTATTTTCGAGGCTAACTTAACGATAATTGAGTTACAACAAGCTTTTCAAATATTTCAAGACTAGGCCCTCTACTACTCAATTTTCAAAAGTAGCCACGTTCTCAAAGCATGCCTTAAGTGTTGCCTGAGAATATTTTGAGAAAATAAATTGTCATTTTTGCGGAAGGTTGTCTTATGCTAAAAGTACATTTACCTTTGGCTAAACAAAATAAAGACTTTTCATGCCTAACGATAAAATACTTTTAAACAGCCATACTTTTAGTATATGTTATATAAGTAGTATGATCAACACAGTCTTAACTTTAAATGAATTTAGCTAATCGAGAAGACTAATGTCACTGGTGTGACCCTTTCTTAAGAAATATTCTTTAGCTTTATATGAAAGTCTGAACGAGGGTGCTGATAGGCTCACATTTTGGTAGGATCCTCGTTCTGACTGAGAACTCCTACGCTTTAACATTTCGAGGAGGCACGAAAGTCAGAAGTTCATGGAAAATTTTAGTCAGTTCGGAAGTCGATTGTTGTATGTGTTTTGAGTCTTTTCGGATTTACAGAAAACGGACAAATAAAAAGGTTTATAACAATTGAATTACAACAATTTTTTAAACTCCATTAATGTGGGGACAAATATTTCGAGGCTAGGCCCTCTACTACTCAATTTTCAAAAGTAGCCACGTTCTCGAAGCATGCCTTAAGTGTTGCCTGAGAATATTTTGAGACAATACTTTGTTATTTTCGCGAAAGGTTGTCTTATGCTAAAAGTCTATTCACCTTTTTGCTGAACAAAATCAAGACATTTTATGCCTAACGATAAAATTAACGAATATTGAAGTACATTGCAAATTCGATTCCAGCATCTATCCTCAATTATGTTGCATTTGAAAACAAAATTAAATTAAATAAAGTTAAAAAGTTATGTATATCTAATATCCTTTTAGATTATAGGATACAATTAATTTATATTATAATAAGCCCAACAGAGTATAAACAATCTGCCAACTGTTGAATAAAGCTTTAATTTTGAGTTTTGCTATTTTGGCTTACATAAACTTTGGACCTTACATGTTCACCAAAGAAATGTGTAAATTTTTTAAATGCGAATTGTTGGTGTCATTGAGGTGGTTTAGATTCTCTCTTCTGTTGCATTTATTGTGGATTGACTCAGTATTTGTCTTTAAATGAATAGCTGGTCTGAGCCCAGATCCGATTCGTTGTGTTGAAATGAAGCGTTGTGGATGAATGTGTCCTGCAAAAAGGACAATCAATTGTATCAAATAAGGATACGCGAAATCGTGTAACATGCAACATTACTCGTGTGAAGATGTGCATCTTTTATGCCTACACGTTGGCATGAATTGCTTTTCATAAAAGCCATTTTTGCATCAATTTGCCAACATGTTATTCTAATTCTGGTGACTGAGCATGGTCAAGTGTCAATGGGCCAGAATGGCTGAATAAAATCGCAATTTTGACGCTTCGAAATAAAGGTTGGTTGACCTCTTTCTCGCAAATCGGTCGTGGTTTCTGGGCGCACTTTGTTTGAAGTCTGATGCCATAGCATTTTATCATAATTCCCAGCATCTGATCGTGGAATTGGGACATTTTCAGACGTTTCGCCGACGTTTCGCTTCACTCACCGACGATGCCGGCGAAACGTCTGGAAATGTACCAAGTCTACCGACCAAAGCTGGGAATTATGATAAATACTTTGTATAGAATGTGTTCAACTGGTCGGCCTGACAACACGATCAAGTTGCCAAAACGAGATTAACCCACTTCAATACATCCAAATGAGACTGCGACCATACCGAACAGCAAAGCATAGCTGCTTGCAAATAGAGTTAATAAATTTTAACATTTTTTTTGTCTCAGAAGCTATTAATTTCAGGCCGAATTGTGCCAAATTAATGAAAATTCGGTCTACCTTTAAGCAGAATTCTGATATTTGTGGATATTTTCCTACTAAATTTGGCATTTATCCATGCCGAACATGCTCAATTGTGGATGAATCTGAAGGTAAACTGGCAAAGTAAATTATAATTTTTTTTTAAATATCACTTTATTCATCCCGAGAGGAATTTGATCCGAGTAAAAGTTTCGGGTGAAGAGATTCGAAGTTTGGTTTCACCAAAAGACGACGGCCGATTCTTTATTGAAAGATTCACGCTGAAGCTGTTTCCGAGGCAATCTCGTTCGATTCCGGTGAAAAGGTGACCAACATCATCAGAGCAGGTATCACCTTCTGGTGGAACCGACCTTCGCATCTCTTCACCCACAACAATGAGTTATTCTGCTGGGAATAGCACTACTTAAATCAGTAGTATGTGCTCTTTGTGGACGTTTTGACCGGGACCCATGTCAGAGGGCCAGGCACGTCAGGGTTGAAATTGTGGGAAAATGGGAAAATGGGAAAATGCCTAAAGTCTTTGGGTGTTTTTCTGACAAAATCGGCCGTCTGTACCACGGCCAGGCAGTGAGACGGTGGAAAATTGAGCGGACTTTTTTCACGTCTCCCCTTCCGCTCAAGACTGAAGGCAAATGCAGATGATGTCCCGGCCTGGCATGTTGCATACATGCCAGATTTCCGTTGGTAGCCGAAAGAGAGTGAACGCGGGGGCGCACGCCGCGAAGTGTACAGAAATGAGGACACTCGGTGGCGGACAGATTCGAGGATGTCGAAAAACCGACCGACCGACAGACCGACCGACAGACCGACTGACAGACCGACAGACGGACGGACCAACGGACCGAGTGAGTGTGTGCTGTGGACATGCAACCGGTACCGGTCGGTTTGGGCCGCCTCTCGCCCACACTTTTGGGTCGGTCAACCGAGAAACAGAGACACAGACAGCCGGGCCGTCGGGCCGTCGGGCCGTCGGGTTGTCGGGCAGTCGGGCCGATCGGGAATGCCAGCTCAACCGGTACATTGAGGCGTTCGCGTATAAAAGCCGATTCGAGTCGCCCAGAGACAGCACAGTTGGCAGACGAGGCAGATACAGACTGAAAGTGTGCTGGAAGGCCAACTTTGTGATACAATCTTGCAACCCCACACGTCGACACAAGATGCAGTACCAACAACAACTCATCGTTTGGCTCGTCTGTCTGTTGGGCGCCGGCGCGCCGGCCATCGGCCAAGACGGCTGGAACGCTTTCTCCGGTCTGGACTATCCCGACGCGGTGACTTCCACGAGTCTGCGTTACCAGGCGTCGAGCGATGCCTGGAGACAACAGGGCGCCGAGGCGATGGACGCCGGCGTGGCAGGCGACGAGTTCGCGGTGAAGATGCAACGTCGAGGACTGCCGACCGACTGGCGCGAATCGAGCCAGACGGACGCAATGAAGCGTGACGCCGACGGCATCGAGGCGAGACGGCAGCAGCGGAAATTACGCGCAATTCAACGCTTCTTGGCCACTCAATCCGTGACGGAAGAGGCCAACAATGCAAAACTGTTGTCAAGGCCTGCAAGCAGGAGGGGATTTGATGGGATGCCGAAATTTCTGAAGGAAGAGATCAAACAAAAAGTGGACAACATTAATCAACGCTTCATGCAGAATGAAAACTACAGTCCAGAAGTAGAAACTAATCTGCTGCCGTTGGAGACGAGTAAGTTCTGATGAGCTCATGCCATGAATGTCGCGGTTACTTGTGTCTATAAGTGTGTGTGTGTGTGTGTCTTCTGGACAGACATTGTCACAATCTGAACTCTGCGAGTGGGCGCAACATCATCAATTGTCATCAGCGAAGATGACAAGAATTGCAACAGTAAGTCGAGAGATATGAACAAGAATAGATGATGAGCCCAACTATTGCGCAAATAACGGTCAGCTTTAATGCAAAATTGCAATAGTTTTATGAGGAAATAGAGAATTTCAACTAGAAAAGACCAAATGTGAAACTGTCGAATTCAGTAGTAATGAGTAGTAGAGTAATTCACCAATATAACATAATGACTTTGTTGGAGTTGGCGAAAAATCTACAAATTCATTTGTCATGTACTTAATTGGTTTCTATATTGAAATGCTACGCTTTAAGGAGGGTCTGGTATTTCCATAAGACCAGCGGATAGTGTGAAACAACTCTCACAACAATGAACCGATATCGTTCAACATCCGCACTTTTATGGCCAAATCTGCATGAAAATCGGACAATTTAGGTATAAAATAAGCTTTCATATTCAGTTGGGATTAATGATTGCCTGCCTTTTTCGGTTGACTATTGCAGGACTTGCAGCCATTCTCGCAACAATCATCTAGACCCGAGCATCACGCAAACTTACCTGTCCGGATGTGGATGTCTATTATCCCTTTTTCTATCAAAATAGCTCTTTACTCTAAGTAGTACTTTGTAAGTAGTATAATTTCCATGTTACTAGTGGTACAGATAGGTCTCATATTAATTGGACCAAGTTAGTAATGAATCAATTCTATTGTTAAAATTAAATTCTTTTGAGGCCATAGAACTTCATTTAAAATAGATTGTCTG